TAGTTGACTTCGGATATCCATAAGGTATACCTCGAAGACGGAGTAAAGCACTTTAAAAATGTATCTGATTAATAGGATTATAACCCTAAAAATGAAGTGGCTGAATGAGTTAGAATAAATGAAATTCACTTCCAACGTATAGAAGAGTATACAGAACTGAATTACTTCGGACGCGAAGTGAAACTTATTAAAGAATTGAGTTAAAATACACTATAAATTGAGCAATAGGAGTGAAAGCAGGAACTATTAAAACAAAGTTCACTTAAATGAAGTATGCTTAAGGGTAAAACTTCTTCAAGTTATTGACATTCCAGACTCTGGGAACCCGTTTGCCTTCAGTGTCCCGTAGGATATAAGCACCTGGGTGCGGCACTTCGGCAACAGTGTAGGGACCTTCCCAGTTTGGTGCCAACTTGCCGAATCGAGTTTCGAACCCCGTCAGACCAGCTTTCCTGAGGACAAGGTCTCCTACTTTGAATGTTCGGGGTCGAACTCGTTTGTTGTAGAAGTTTGCTATTTTCTACTTGTAGACTAGAGTTCGAAGTCGTGCTTCTTCTCTAACGTCATCAAGCAAATCAAGGTTCTCCCGAAGCAGTTGGCCATTTCGTCCTTCATCGAAATGGGTGACTCTGAAGCTTGGAACTCCTATCTCGATAGGAATGACTGCTTTGGTACCAAAGGCCAGATGATAGGGTGTTTCACCTATTTTAGTGGATTATAACTTTAGAATGCGCTTTACACATTATGCATATTTGCTCTAAGGTAAAACCGTAATAGAAGAAGTAATATAAATTTAATCAAATAGGCAAGGTGTAAAGTAATACCTGTGGCAGTTCGACTCGTAGTTCTATATGCCCAGAGGACGTTGTTGAGCTCGTCTGCCCATTTGGCCTTGTGTTGTTCCAGCCTCGGCTTTATCCCTTCTTGGATACACTTGTTAACAGATTCGACCATGCCGTTGGACTCCGGATGGTAAACCGAGGTGAATTGTAGTTTAATCCCGTAGCTGGAACAGAAGTCTCGAAAAGAGGTGCAGTTAAATTGAGTTCCATTATCGACCACAATCTGATTCGGGATCCCATATCTGCAGATGATTGAGCTGAAAACAAAGTCTTCAACCTTCTTGGAAGTAAGACTGGATAATGGCCGAGCTTCAACCCACTTTGTGAAATAATCTACACCGACAATCAGATGGGTTACACCACCAACCCCCTTCATGAATGGGCCCAAAAGATCCAACCCCCACTGAGCAAATGGCCATGGTGCCACCAGAGTAGTGAGCTCTTCTGCAGGCTGGTGAGTCAGGTGTGCAAAGAACTGGCATTTCAAGCATCTCTGAACAAAGTGAGTGGCATCCTTGTACATGTTAGGCCAATAATAACCCTGTCTAAGGACTTTATGAGCCAAAGTTCGAGCACCCACGTGACTTCCGCAGACACCTTCATGCACCTCCCTGAGTGCGTATTCTGCTTCATAGGGATTCAAGCACCGTAAAAGAGGTAGAGAGAAAGATCGCTTATAGAGGACCCCATCAACAAGTGTATACCGAGATGCCTTCCTCCTCAACTTCATTGCCTCCTGCCTGTCCTCAGGTACTATCCCATCTCGCAAGAAGGAGAGGATTGGGTCCGTCCAGCTCGGTGTGCCTGGGTCGGTGTTGATCGCCAACACCCGTGACTTCATGAAGCTTGGTTCATCTAAGACCTCCACAAAAACTGATCTGGAATGTGAAGAACTATCAGAGGCGAATTTAGAGAGTGAATCTGCCTGTTCGTTCTCAGTCCGGGGGATTTTGTCAAACAGAATTTCTGGAATTTGCACTTTAGCTCGGCCACCAAAGCTACATATTTCACCATCACAGGATCAACAACTTCGCAGATTGAGTTAATTTGGTTCACCACCAGCTGGGAGTCACTGTATACTTGGATCGCACTGAGTTTTAATTCCAATGCTAATTGCAGACCAAGTAGCAGGGCTTCATACTCGGCCATGTTGTTTGTTGCATCGAAGTTAAATTTCAAAGCATGTTCGCTTTGATATCCATCTGGGCCGATTAAGAGAGCACCAGCTCCTGAACCTTTGCTACTAGATGCCCCATCAACATACAAGGTCCAGTCATTGGGCTCCGAAGTAGGAATGGAATTACCTAGAGTGCATTCTACAATAAAATCTGCCAATGCCTGAGCTCGGATTGCAGATCTCTGCTGAAATGTTATCTCAAACTCTCCCAGTTCCACTGCCCACTTAATTAATCGTCCAGAACACTCAGGCTTTTGCAGAATCTGCCGAAGTGGTTGGTCTGTAAGAATAATGATCGGGTGTGACTGGAAATATGGCCTCAACTTTTTGGCCGAAGTGACAACTGCTAAAGCTGCTTTCTCAGCTATAGGATACCTCAGCTCTGCTCCATGCAGCACACTGCTGATATAATATATTGGTTTTTGCTGCTTGGCTTCTTCTCTTACCAGAACCGAACTAATGGCTTCATCTGAAATCCCCAGGTATAAATAGAGGATTTCTCCATCTTTAGCTTTTGTCAGTAGAGGTGGTGAGCTAAGATAAGACTTCAGCTCGTCGAATGTGGCTTGGCACTCCTGAGTCCACTCAAACTTCTTCTGTTTACCCGATTCATCCTTCTGGGCAGCTGACCGCATAATCTTGAAAAACGGTAGGCACTTATCTGCTGATTTCGATATGAACCGATGAAGAGCTGCTACCCTTCCAGTCAACCTCTGTATGTCCTTTACTGACTTTGGCGGTTCCATCTCTGCAATTGCTCTGATCTTCTCTGGGTTGACCTCAATCCCTCTCCGGGAAACCATAAAACCCAGGAATTTCCCGGACTCCACACCAAAGATGCATTTGGCTGGGTTTAACCTCATTTTATTCTGTCTGAGATTGTTGAATGTCTCCTCAAGGTCAGTTAAGTGATCGTCAGCTTTCAAACTCTTTACCACTATATCATCAACATAGACTTCCAGATTCCGTCCTATCTGAGCTCGGAATACGATGGTAACCATCTTCTGGTAAGTGGCACCTGCGTTCTTCAAGCCGAAGGGCATCATTACGTAGCAATAGATCTCATCGCCAGCATAGAACGAGGTTTTTTCTTCATCCTCAGAAGCCATTGGGACCTGGTGGTAGCCTGAGTATGCATCTAAGAGACTTAATCTCTCATTTCCCGAAGCTGCCTTAACCAGCTTATCAATGTTTGGCATTGGATAACAGTCCTATGGACATGCATCGTTGAGGTTAGTGTAATCAATGCACATTCGCCATTTATCGTTCGCTTTTTTCACCAACACCGGATTGGCGACCCACTCACAATAATCTACCCTTCTGACAAAACCAGCTTGTAGGAGTTTCTCAACTTCTTCTTTAATGACCTGTAACCTCTCTCCCCCAAAGAGGCGTCGCTTCTGGGCTACTGGTTTCTTGAGGGGATTGGTGCTGAGTTTATGTTGAAAAACTGACGTGGGAATTCCTGGCATATCTGCTGAAGTCCATGCAAAAACATCTTTATTGGCCCGAAGAAAAGCTATCAGCTCTGCTCTTTCCTCCGGGTTCAATTTAGTCCCAATTTGCGTTTTCCGGCTCGGATCTCTGTCATCAATCTGTACCTCCTCCACATCTTTAACTGTAGCAGCTCTGGTTTCATCTTCTGGTCGGTTATCCACTATTTCAACACCCATAACTTGCCGATCATCAGGAATCTGTTTGTGATTAATCTCGGGTGTCTGAGCCTTGCCCTTCTGAGGTTGTGTTACCGAGGTGATATAGCAATGTCGGGCCACCTCCTGGTTCCCTCGCAGCGTTGCTATTCCCGTAGGAGTTGGGAACTTCATGCATAGATGAGATTGGGAAACCACAGCTCGGATTTCAGTTAGTGTGGGTCGACCAATGACGACATTGAATGAGGACGCCATCTTGACTACCAGAAACTTGACTGAAGGGGTCACATAACTGCGGCCACTTCCAAATGCAACATTCATGGTGAGGACTCCTTCAACTGGAACTGGTTGGTTGTTGAACCCGTAGATGGGACCATCATACCGTTGCAACAGAGCTGGATCTAACCCAAGACTCTCAAAACAATGGAAATACATGATGTCTGGTGCACTCCCAGTGTCAACAAGGACACGCTGCACTTCACAATTGTTGATTGTGACAGAAGTGACTAGAGGATCATTGTGAGGTGTAGTGACTGTTTCGAGATCAGCAGATGTGAAAGTGATTGGTTGATTCTTCCACTCAGCATCGTCAAATTTTCGCTTCTGAGCCCGGTTCTGGTGCTTAACCTCTCTGACATACAGCTTTCGCTGCTTAGAGCTCAGTCCACCGGCTTCCAGACCTCCCGTAATCATGTGTATGACTCTAGCTGGTGGTGGGAGTGGGGGTGGGGCCTGCTGATATCCCACGCCTTGCCTGTTTGGTGGATTGCGGACTCCTTGATGCTGTGTCCCTTGTTCCCTGACAAACCGTGGCTGTTCAACTCTCTGGATGTATTCATTTAACATTCCCTTCTGAGCCAGACTTTCCAGTTCGGACCTCAGACTGTTGCACTGCTCTGTTGTATGACCGTGATCTTGATGAAAATCACAATACCGAGTATGATCTCTGGTAGCAGCAGCAGTTCTCATTGGACCCAGACGTCTTAAGTCCATTTTATTCTTAATCTGCATAAATATTTGTGACCTCGGTAAATTAAAAGGAGTCCAATTAACTGGAGGTTTACCTGCAGGTTGTTGCGGAGGTGCGGAGTTCGGCCTTCCGAAGCTCGGGGTGGAAGCCGACATCGTACCTCGGTTCCGTGTTGGCTTCATTCGTTTCCTGTTCGGATTCTCATCTCTCCAGTCCGGACGCTGGTTCTTAATAGGAGTTGAGTTCTGCGACAGGGCATATTCCTCAGCAGTGATGAATTTCAGTGATCTATCATTTACCTCGCTGAAGGTGGTGGCAGGATGTTTAAGCAGACTATCTCTGAATCTCTCATGGCCAAGACCTGAGATCACAGCCGTAATGCCCACAGCCTGGTCGAAGGAGTTAACCTCCAGTACTGCATCATTGAATCTGCTCATAAAGTTCTTCAAAGACTCGCCGTCCCTCTGCCTAACTCGCATCAGCTCGGAAGTGGTTTTCCTGATCAACCTTCTACTGGAAAACTTTGTGGCAAAAGCAGATGCTAGTTCTGTATAGGAGCTGATTGACTTCGGGGGAAGACTGTAATACCAGGTGCGAGCATTACCCCGGAGAGTAAAAGGAAATATTTTGCACATCAATGCATCAGAGGCATTCTGGGCCTGCATGCAAGAGTAGAAAGCATGCAGGTGATCATCGGGATCTTTTGTCCCATCATAAGTCTCAAGCTGAGGTATTCTGAAACCAGCAGGGTAGGGTTCTAGTGTGATGTTCGTGTTCAGAGGGTGGGGTATGGAGTCAACAGCATGATGTGGAGGTGGGGCACCTCGCTGTTCAGCCACTAGCTTTTCCAAGCTGTCTAGACGTCGAGGAACATCATCATGAAGAGGTTGCTGAACTGGTGCGATGTGAGATTGGCCCTGGGACTCGCTGATAGCAGGAGCATGTTGAACTGGTTCGGGATTTTGTTGTGGAGCTGGGGGTTGTGGAGCAGGATTGAGTAGGTTGATGAGTGGATCAGCAGGATTGTTCCGAGCTAATAACTGAGCCAGCACTATCTGAAAGACACCAAACTGTTGTTGCATGGCCGTGAGCTGCGCTGCAACCACGTCTTGGTTGGCAATTGAGGCTGAGTTGTGAACCGAATTGTGTGGTTGATTTTCATCTCCTCCTTCGGTATGATCAACACGAGGGAGTGTATTCGGGATTGGGGGTGGGGGATGAGGTGGAAGGTTGCTGGGGGCCTGACCTCGTCCAAGAGGCTGAGATGAGTTTCCACCTCGGACCGACCTAGTTTGAACCATGATGAGAGCAACAAGGGAGCTTTTTGTGCGAATTCCCACAGACGGCGCCAAAATGTAACTGCACCAAACCAGATGTTCTTCTTCACTTCGTATTAGCACTCCGGATTAACCTGCAAAGCCTCGAGATGGATCTCGGGGTAGACACTCCGATGCTTAAGTCAGCAATAATCGGGGCTACCAATAGAGCGAAGATTATAAGAGCTTAGGGTTGGTTTCAATCATCTTTTTGACGTGACCCTTGAGGGGTATTTATATGTTCCAATGAAGAACCCACGCAGCATGCTAAGCAAGATATTCGAGATCTGGTGTGTATCTCCGAGCAGTTATTTCGGGATCGGGAAATTAAGCCGAGCAAGATATTTGGGATTTGATATGTATCTTCAAGCAGTTATTTCGGGATCGGGAAATTAAGCCGAGCAAGATATTCGGGATCTGTTGTGAGGATGTCCATCATAACTGCTGTACAGCCGTCCGAGCAGGGAGCTCTGGATTTACTCTTCATTCCGATTGTAAAGGAATTACTGTCGTACGTCCGAGGTTGGGCACTTCGGACCTGCCCTTACAAAACTCCAATTAAGCGTAGAATGATGGTACTCATTTTTCATTAAAATTTTCCGCATAATGCAATTCAATTAGGAACATTGAAGCTGGGTTCCCTTTTTTTTTAAAAAAAAAAAAATATTACGTTGAGTTGGGTGGAATGGACTTGATTCTTAGATTTGCAGAAATCCCCATTGTTAATGTGTTGTTGGTTGGTAGTTTTAGATTTGAAGTCAAATTTAGGAGCTTTTGTTGCAAAATAAATGGTTTAAAATCTGTCTTTTGGAGCACACAAGTCTTATTATAATTATATTAACAGTAAGTATTGCTTTTGATAATGATTACTTGCTTGTGTCTCCAGCAACCTCCAGCAATTTTTTATTTTTTATTTTTTTAGGCCTTAGCAATCTCCAATTTTTGTTTTTAGAGACTAATCTATGCTATAAACTCAAATTGCAGTTAAAGTTCAGTGTGATCTATTTATTGGAGATTGGGTGCCTGACCCATCTGGCTCCGTTTACACTAATGCAAGCTGCCATGTCATTGAATCTCACCAAAATTGTATGAAGAATGGCCGGCCGGATTCAGGCTACCTTTACTGGAGGTGGAATCCCCGGGACTGTGAATTGCCCCGGTTTGATCCAGAGAGGTTTCTTGATTATATGAGGGACAAATCCTGGGCCTTCATTGGCGATTCCATTTCGCGTAACCATGTGCAATCCCTCCTCTGCATTCTATCTCAGGTACTCTAAATTCAATTTTTCCTGTTCTTTTGATTACCAGAGTCAAACGGTCCCTTAGAACATAAGTATCACTTGACTTGGTCTGCTTTTTTGGTTGCACTGTTCTTTCTTATTAGTTGTTATGAGGTCTCCATCCAAGCTGGCTTACCTACCATTTAATTGAATGACTCTGACTGTTTACTCTTTTCCCCCTTGAGCTTAAATAATTGGTAATACTTGATTATGGAAGAACAAAATCTAGACAATACATATCTACACAAATTGCTGGCAGCTGGAAAACTAAAGAACATGTGTAAAAGCAGAAAACAGAATAAAGAAAAAGGAAGATGTGAAAATGGTGAAGCAAATAGATAGAGATTTGATTTATGGTGGGGACTTTGTTATTTCATTCTTTTTATATGATATAACCTATGTTTTGGACCCACAATGGTGCCTGGTACATCCATATTCTATACACTTATGATTCAAGGACCTACCACAACTTCACATGCTATGCTAATCCAGCTGTTGTTTATGCTGTGTCTTGTTCTGTGGCAGTATATTCTTACATATTATATCTGATCAAAACCAATGTCCCACAGGTGGAACAAGCTGTCGAGATCTACCATGATGAGGAATATAGATAAAAAAAATGGCGATTTCCCTCTTACAACTTTAC